AACTTGTAAAAAAAGTTTATTTCTATGAAATTCATGTCAGCTTTTCAGAATCATATATGATTGAAATTAAATTGTAATATTAATTATCGATTGTAGGTTAAAATACAAAAAATAAATATAAGTTTATGATAATTATTTCACATTTGCTAAATATTATTGTGAATAGATACATATTATATTTTCTAAGCCGTCTTTTAGAATAGAAATTATAATAAGCTACAAAATTAGCAATTTAATAGCGAAAATGAACAATGTTATCTGTTGTGGTACATGAATGTTATCAGAAACCTTTATTTCCATCTACACTATAATAAACATTCCAAGGTGGTATTCAAATGTTAAGATGAACTGTAAATATCAGCCAAACACAAGAGAAAGTGCATACTGAAAAGACATTTGCACAGAGATACATCTCTACAAAAGCTAGACTGGGTATTAATTGAACAGCAATGCAGAAAATGTTGACAGACTAATTAAAACATGTAGGATAGTTGACAACTAAATTGTCCGGTACGATTTTAGCCCATTTTAAACTGCTGTTTTCATTATGCAGGCATATCGAGGCTAGGTGAACTAAAATCCTGTGTTTTATGCCATGTTTACCTAGAGAACTACTAGAAATCTAGTTGGAATGATTATTGGATGTGAGTACTGGTAATAGAGACTAGCCACTGGGAGTTCTGATAAATGAAGTCTCTACACATTGTTGTACAGAGATGAGAATGACATAGAATAACAATGAGGGGACTTTTACAGCTTATGTATGAAGCTAGATCCCAGGTGGTTGACTGATGATTAAAAATATTGGATCCTATTTTTTTATTTTATTTTTTATTTTTTGGTAGGGGAGAGTAGATGAGAAATTCTAAGTAATTGAACATAATTCGAACTAAATAATACTAAGTCACTTCCAAACTGAAGCTTAAGCAGAGCATACCATCAAAAATGGGAACCCACACCAACTTCTACAACTAATGCATGGCGTAGATTTTAGTAGTCGAACAGATTTTAAGGTGCATCTGACATTGAAATCACAGGAGCCACACAAATAAAGAGGATTTAGCTGCAAGCTATGTAGCAGTTCTATATATTCTATTCTCAGACACCCTTTCTTACATAAAATATTCTCCGTAATTTTGTTATAATATAAATACAATATCATAATAAAAGACATCAACATATTTTTTTTAAGTTTATAACAGATTTGGTGGATTTTTGAAAGTTATTTCAAACAAAATCTTAAGAGAAGCATCAAATAGTGGAGGATGACAATATCATTTATTTATTCTGACTTAAATTCATATTTTTTAATTAGTCTGTCTGTCTATCTATCTATCTATCTATCTATCTATCTATCCCACAGTGAAGGGATTGAGAAAGGTCCTAGAGTAATTTGCTGACTATTGATTTTATCCTCTGTTTGCTATAGTTGACTTTGACACTCAATTACTTTACGTTAAATGATTATTTCTATGTAAAAAAGACTCTCCCCAGCTGTTCCCACCTCCGATAACTGCTGATCCAGCACTAGCACGATATTTAGCATAACGCGATATACAAAAAAAAAGTGTATCGATCCTCATTTTTCTACAGAGCACCGCAATTATGGAATGATCTCAGGGGCACAGTCAAATCTTCATTCAATCTAATATCTTTTAAGAGATCTATGGCAATTTACCTCCATACAGAATGCACCTGTCAATATATTTATTACCTGTTATGTATTAAATTTCTATATGTGTGTCTATACATACAGTTTGTATATTGTACTTTTGTAATATTGCATCCTATTTAACAATGCAATGTTTTGAGGACCCAGGACATACTTGAAAACAAGAGAAATCTCAATGGTTCCATCCTGGTAAAATATTTTATAAATAAATAAAATGACCTTAAGGAAAGTGTTATATCACCTCTATACAGGCAAACAGTGATATCTGATTACCTGCACAACCCACATGTGGCTTATAAGATATTATGCTTGTATGGCCTTGCCTACATAGACTAAATGGCCAATGATCTATGTGAGAGAATTAGGGAACATTGTTCATCAATTAAGTTGGGATTCTAAAATCGAGCACTCCGGTTGCAAGACACTTTTTATCCCACTATAAATGTCTCTCTTTTTGTAGCACAATTGGCTATCACTTCAAATTGGCCGATAGAATCACTTCATTTCATTTTTGGCTTAACAGAAAAAAAGTGTGTTGAACGCGATGGATTGATTACTATGGAACTATGTGCATCCATATTTTCTGCATGCCTATACAAAAGGTTGGTAAACTTGTAGTAAAATTACCCTTTAGTTAGAGTGACAAGTACATTACATAGACACATGAGTTTAAAATATTATTATTATTATTATTATTATTCTTGGCTGTTGTTAACATCCAATTCATTCAACCGCCACATAATTAACACTCACACCGCTGAGCATTTTTTAACTATATTCCCACTAGCTGGTAACTCTATTTACAGATTTACAACCCCATTTACAGATTTATAGTGAATGGCCCACAAACTCCTCAAAGCACTCTTCGTATGGTTGCATTCTTAGCAGCTAGGAAGGTAAAAGAAAAATTGAGATCTTTGAGCTTCTTAAATACAGTACAGAGTTATTGTATGTTTCTACATTAAATGGCAAATCCTTGTATAGAACAATTAACTTTATTTACTGTACCTACTTATTATATTATGTCTACTTACAGATGTATTTTTTTTCCACTGTATACAGAGGCCCTGGGTTAGGACCATTAACAAAATATACTGCCTCACAGGAGTCTGAAACTTACTTTGCAAAGGATGATTAAACATCTTCCTTTTAATTCTTCTACAAACAATGCCTCTGCTCATTAACTTTGAAAGAGATCTTAGATTGACTATATGGAACATAAAGCTTAGATGAGACTTGAGGAAACTTTGTAAACTCTTCTCAAAGAAACTACCTTTCTCTAATACTTACATGTCCCAGGTATAACTTTATAGTACACTTGTTGTTACTTTTTGTCATTGTAGGCAGAATGATTTAAACTTAAAGGGACACTCCAGGCACGCAGGTCACTTCTGCCCATTGGAATGGTCTGGGTGCCAACTCCCACTACCCTTAACCCTGCAACTGTAAATATTGCAGTTTTCATAAATTTTAATATTTACATTGCAGGGTTAACTCCTCCTCTGGTGGATGTCTACTAGACAGCCACTAGAGGACACTTTTGTGCTATAGCGTCGCTGGATGTCCTCACGCTATGTGAGGACCGCCAGTGTCGCTAAATCCCCATAGAAAAGCATTGAAAGCATCTTTCAATGCTTTCCTATAGGGAGGTCTAATGCGCGTGAGCGGCATTGCCGCGCATGCGCATTAGGTCTCCCCAGCCGCCGGCCGCACATGCGCAATAGGTCTCCCCCGCCGGATAACATCGGCGGGGGAGGAGCGTGGGCAGACCCTGAACCAGCACCGAGGGACATCGGCGCTGGACTCAGGTAAGTCACTGAAGGGGTTTTAACCTCTTCAGCAACCTGGGATGGGAGGTGGGAGGGAGAGGAGACCTGCAGTGCCAGGAAAACGGATTGTTTTCCTGGCACTGGAGAGTCCCTTTAATTATTTGGAGAACTCTCTGATCAAATACTGTCAGTGCCTTAATAAAACATTGAAATTAATGTTCACAGCACTCAGAATACTTAAAGTGACTCTTGAAATTACACCACTGAATAAAACTTTGAAAACCAGAAATAACTAGGGTTACCATAGCCACCATGTTCTCTGGGACACATATCACGTATACATATTGATGGGAAGCACATGAAAAGGGTTGCCCTGTCGTAAGTAGAATTCAGAAGAATGTCTATACTATAAAGTAATTAGACAATGACGAATGCTGCAGAATATGCCTTATACATGCTGCAAGGCAAAGCTTTTCATGAGTTTTCATAAATATGACAAAATTATGTGTCCCAAAAAAATAATGGTGGATATAATAACCCTATCAATAACTTACGTTGATTTTTTTTTCATTCTTCATTTTTTTTGTAATTGTATATTACAAGCCTAGCAAGTGATATCATATTCTAACTCAGTCCAGGCATACCCATGGCATACAATTCAAATGAGGAGGAGAAAATAAACATTGTTTCTGTATCTCACCTTCCATTATGTTTAATGTCAGAAAGCAGAAAGAAGTGGTCTTTTTTCTTTTTTGCCTTCTCTGAAATTTATTTTTTCTACTAAATAGTGAATTTTAGTAAACCCAGCATAATCCAGACTACAATAGCAAAACTAGGACTATAGTGAATACAGCAAAAAAAAAAATCTATTTTACAACAGTTTTATTTTAGTGAATAAAACCACTTGATTATATATGTTGTACATTTCTAGAAATCTCACCAGGTTTCTGATAAAATGATTGTAAGTCTAAGATTTAGACATGTTTGTTTTAGATATTTTTCCACAGTTTTTAAGAAAAATTATATTTCTGATTTCATGCTAATATTTCAGACTCTGCCAGAAGCATTTCAAGATAAGAGTCAACTTTTCTATAATAATAAACCCTACAAAATTCTGTAAGTAATGCAAGAATAGGGGTGGAGCAAGACCTGGAAGCTGTGCAGACATATGGCAGTTAAGCTCCTGCATTTTGGCAGAAATCGAGGTCCAAATCTTTGCGAACAGCTTTTAAACTGACCAACTAGCATCTAACAGATGAGAGGCTCACGGGCGAGCAGTCTGTCACTTTTCCTGAAGTCTTACCTCGCCAGGTGCCCGGACAATGCTGTGGCCTTCTGAGAGTGGAGCTGGGGAGAGAGGGCCACTCTCCTCGCTGTACTACTCACAGATCGGACCCAATGCACTCCTACTCCCTTCTCCACCCCTTTTGACCGGTGGGGGATAACCCGGTCCCATCTGGACTCATTAGAGCTGTGGCACCAGTACTCCTTCCTCAGAGCTGAGAACAAGTAGCCCTAGGCCATTGCAACATGGTGACTGCCTACATAATTGGCTACCAATGGCGCGAGTCCCACCAAGATGGCTCCTACTATTATACTTCTCTCTGCCTGTTGTGGCTGGAGGACATTTTCATCCCCTTACAAGCATGCCACACAGCCAATCTGTTGCATCACCAACATGGAGAATGGAGCGCCACGTGTCCAGTGACAGAGAGGCCTCTCGATGCAATATGCATAAGAAGAAACGCATACTGCATAAGACATTCATGGCTCTGACTACAATAAAAGCCCTAAGAGGGCAGCGGCAAGTGAAGCAGTACAGATGGTGGATTAAGCAGCTCATGAGAGGCACAATGCGTGGGCCAGCATAGAAGCGGGATGCTCAACAGACCTGTGAAGTGGGTTCCAAACAGGTCGCAGCAGAAGAAATCAAGAGGGCAACCCACTTATCAGAGCACTACTTCAAAACCATCATGGCTATTAAGCCTATGCACTGGACTTCCAACAGGTTCTAGCTGCTTCCCAATGTTAGGAGGCTTACACCTCTCTTGCACCTAAAGGCTGCAAACTTGTCCTGCCATTTTATTTAGATTTTTGGCTTGTTGCCTTCTAACTTTGTTATTTTACTCAGATAGCAATGCTCTGTAGGACTGCAATGCTTTGCCCCATTGGTCATTACTTCCATTACTGTCATGTGTGCAACATTAAGAGGTAGTAGCTTTAAACACACCACCACTACTTTCAATATCATCAGTTACCCTTACAGCTACACTAGCTACTGATGTAATTTGAGTTTAATCCTGTACCTAAGCCTGTTATTGTTTTATCCTTATAAAGCTTAGACAAATGAACCAAGCTTGTGGTTTATAATTTAAATTGAGGCTGATATTACCAGGAGTAGAGTATTTTATGCTTGTGTATCAATCCATTACTAATAATATATTTCTTATGTGACTTGATTGGATATCTATGTGTATACCGTTACTCCGCTACTATTGTACTGCAAACGCTTATTGCCTCAAATGATTGACAAAAAAAATGCAAGAATAAAGAAATACAATTCATGTAAGACAACTTACCTGTTTTATCATGTGATACAAATCTCTTCCCATCCAACAGTAATGCTAATATTTTTTTATAAGGAAGGATTTGTTTGTTTTAATGATAATGATATCAGAACTTTACTTTTCTAATTAATTAATTAATTAATTCAAAAAGTATATCCTCCCCAAACAGATAACTAATTATCTTATTCACTTTTTGTCCATTTACATTCTTATTTTGAAAACGACAAATATAACACTTTCTTGAAAAAGTGTTAATGACTGTCACAGATTTGAATAAATGTATCCTAATTACAAAGGTCTAGCACAAAACATATGGTATATTATTTACTAACAACAGAACAATTTCATAAATGTGTATTTTTTGCAAACATTGAACTAGACTGACTAAATAGACATATGTGCTAACCAATACTTTTAATGAGCGTGCAATGCTGTAAATCAATAAATAAATAACAGAGAGAATTGTAAATTTGGAATAAAAAAGAGCAATGCATATGAAACACAACATATTTATCTCTTTCAAACTATTAATGTTATAGTATGATTTAGCATACTAAATAAGTGGTGTATTAAGGTAACTGGATTTTAATAAAGTATTTATAAACTTAAATTCCCTTTTTGAATGTTAAACAACATATGGAAAAAGCTGTCTTTTCTTTCCTTTGTGAGTACAATGATTTTTGTGCTTTTCAGTGGCATGTAAAAGAGTTTACACCTTTAACCAAGTTTTTATAAGAAAATATTGTAACTCAAAAGTTACAAAAGCCAGAAAATATTTGATATGATTGATTATATATGTTTTTGTAGATTTCTACAGTGAAGACACAGATTTTTTTTTCTGAAGCTGATTTTACTTTTACTAAACCTATTACCATCATGATGCTTCCTAGTTAAAATGACACTCCAAACACCAAAACTATTACAGCATGCTGTAGTGGTTATGGTGCCAGGATTTCCCTGTTGACCCCTAATTTAAGTAGTCAAACCACTTTAGAACAATTTGACTTCTTACCTGGAGTTTACTGGGGCCAGACCCCACCTTTACAACAGCCTAGAGTTGTGTGTTGGGGACTAAACAGACATTAAGAATGGCTTCATGCTGTGGGTCTTGATGGGAAGAGTGGTATGCACCCAGAGGAAAATTATTGGATCAGTCCTGGATACAGAACATATATTTAAAAGAATAAACATACATTACATATAAATATATATTTAATGGTTTCTGTAACTTGAAAGATACTATCAATTCATTTATTTGATAAAAACTAGGTTTTGAATTTAAAACGCATATATATGATGTGGGGAGAAAATGTAAGATGTGAGGCTTCCACTTGGCCAGGTATATTATCTGTTATGATTCTAATTTTGATTTTTATGCAATGGATAGGAAGAAATTATGGACTTTGTTGTCTATCAGCAACTTATTACATTTATTTGATTAATGTTATTTTCATGTGAGTTATTTATTCTCGGATATGTATTTTCATTTTTATTTCCCTATTTATTTTATGTAATTATCTTTATTTGTTTATTATTGTTAAACTATTGAAAAATTATGCAGCTAATGTATTCGAAAACTTTTTTTAAAAGTATATATAACAATACATAAATTGCATAAACTACATATTTTTAGCTTATAAGACACTGCACAAGGATGTCTATAAAATAATTCAAATACACAAAATGTATTTTTTTGTAAGTCTGTTTGACATTAAAGAAAATATGAGGAAAATACCAAAGAGCATCAGCATACTTATAAATTGAATTATTGGAGTAGGTATATTACAACATAGTGCCTTCTTTCCAATTCATACCCCAACTTCCACACTACACAGTTTCACTCTATAGCAATAACACTTTAACTTACACAAGGATGGTAAGAAAATCAAGGCACAGCAAGTCAATTTTATTGAAGACGTTTTAGGTTTTAAGGTTTGTTTATCTTACATGTTTTGGCCATGAGAGACTATGAGTAACTCCTCTGATGTACAGGATGAAACACATCATATGTACAGAACTTTTATGTTGACATTTCTTTATTAATGCTGGCTTGCTGAATTTTGAATTTCTCCTTTTTAAAAACTTTACAAAACTATATGATATTTCATTTTGGTTTGAAGAAGGCTATAGCCATCTTTTAGCCATATTATTTTGATTTTGTTTTATTGTAACGCAGGCTAGCTGCTTCCTAAACAGAAATCCCGAAGGGACAATAAACAAATCATTTAAGGTTTTATTTATACATGTATTTATGTTGGTTAGAATATGTTTTAAAACATCTCCTATCTTTGAAGATTTTTTGTTCTTCTTATATTTTAATTTTGTAACTATGTTATTGAGCATGTAATAGAGATTGTAGAATAAACCAGTACAGCAATGATGACAGATACAACTAGCCAACAGAAATCGCTCAACATCCATAAAAGTAATCAATATACTCATAGAGAGAAAAGTTGTCAAAAAGCAAATAGAAAATAAGGGTGGAAGGGGAAAAGTGAAAAGAAAAATGGAAAAGGGGACAAATTAATTAGATAATAGAATAGGTAGTTGGTTGATAGAACAATATTGGAATACCTTGTGTCATGGTATCTAAATTTTCCAGATATGTCAAAGGAGTCATTCAGGGTTACAATGCTTTTACATATGGTTATAGAATGGCAGTTGCTATTCTTAGTCATAAAGTAAATAGTAACCGCAATCTTCCAAATTTTAAGGGGCATTTAAAACCAGTTAAGAAAAGCTATGCAGCATCTTGTCTATTTAGGGGCCCATTACTAAATAATTAAGAACAAAAACCTTGACAGAACTGAAAAAAATAAAGTGTCAGGGACAGAAGTGGAATTAACTAGCCAAGGAGATGTAACGATCTGTATCTTTAGAAGTGTTCAAAACATGAGATTTGCCCAAGAAAAGGCCTGTTATTCTTCACATGGCTCCTGGAGTAGATAGAAGTATTCATTGCCCCAGTATGAAAAGGTTACAGAGTTGAAAAATACATATCCTATGGAAAAATAATAACATTATGTATAGTATGTCCTAGCTTATTACTGTTTCAGTGAAAAGCAAAGTGTAAAATATTATTTCAAATGTTTAATATTAAAGAACGTAAAATTCTATATGAAATTAGTGGGTAACTAGAGAAAAATGCTTACAGAGGCAGTAACTCAGTTATATGTTGAAATACATTCCGATAACAACCTCAAAGGCTCCCTACAACAGGAGTAGGGTATACAAATGCTTTCAGCACTCTAGACATTGTGGACTACATCTCCCATAATGCTCTTACAAATATATTGTTGGTAACGCATAAGAGGAGAAGTAATCCACAACATCAGGTGTCACGTGCCAATCATGCATATTACCTTTTTTCACTATAGCAAATACATACATAAATTGTAAATTGCCATTTCCAATTTTTTACCTTCACGAATGTATATTGACAATCATAGTATTCTACTCTCTTAATCAATTAAGCCTTTTGTTCTCTAATGAAAGTGATTGGTTTTATAAAGAGAAACTGCAAACACTATAATTTGTACCTTTACCAATGTTCTTCTTGGCTGTTATTAATGACACTATAATAATTAACTGCAGGGAAAGAAGGAAAATAAAATAAAAGAAAGAGTGGCCGTGTGAGGAACTGACTCTGCTGGGTTTCGAACCCTGGTTTATATGGTGCTAAACCTTTTCCTTACCAGTACACCAGCCTGCCTTTTGCAAATTTACCTGAGATCTGATACTATTGTTTGTAGAGTCAAGGTTATCAGTGACAACTCACTTCAGCTGTGTCTGGTCAGGTGTCTGGTCCTTGGCCTATAAAAGCCACTTCCTGTCTCTGTACCTTTGCCAGATTATTGTGGTTCCTGTACTCTCTAATCCAGCGTGTTCCTGTTTCTCCTTCCTGTTGCTGAATTTGGACTGTTTTGACTTTGCTGCTTCTCCTTCCCACTGACCTCGGCTTGCCTGACTACGATTATCATCTTTCTGTTCCAGTCTCCCATCTCTGCTTAAGACCAGAAAGCCACTCAAGGCTCAGGGGCTCAACCACCTGGGTAACGAGTGGCTACCTCTGGCAGAAAACATTGCTGATCTGGCTACTGGACTCCAAAACTTTGTAACATCAATATCATTACAGAATAATCTGGCCTTTTCATGGAGACCGTCGGATCAGATTCTGCATTGGCCCAGCAGGTTGCTTTTAATGCAAGAACTATGCAGACCCAGGCACAGACCATTC